TTATAGTTTATACCTCAAGAAATTTAATATTTTGGTACAGGTCACACTTGAGTAGGGTATAGAGAAGGGTTGAATTGGGAACAATTTTATTTATCATTTAGCCTTTTTTTCTAAAGCAGTTGCAATTAAGATTTGGTAATGAGACTAATTATCTGTACCAGATAATGGCTTTTATTCCCCATCCCCTAAAATTTAATAAAATAAAAATAAAATACCAGCAGCTTTTTGTCATAAAGAAACTGAGAAACCAGATATTATAACATTTTTCTAGTCTGTATTAGGTCCTAGCCTTCTTTGATGCCAACCAAATGCCATAACAGTATATTTTCTAGTAATTTAGACATGACTTTTTCTCATGCTTTTGTTATCTGCATCATTTCATTTTTTTCCTCGTTACATCATTCAATGATTTCACCCTGTTGAACTACATTCTGAACTCAGGTTGTGATCAGAAATTTCTCTACCGATTATGAGAGAACTAGTTCCACAGTAAAATGGAAAGGTATTTTTATTTTGACATGTGTTAACCTCTGGTCATAAGAAAAAATTAATTTGTTTGAACCTTTCTACGTTGTAAATTATAAAATGATATTCACACCCTATTATGTAACTAATTCTTTTTTGTTGTGTTTAAGATTCCAATTTTTCAATGGATTGTTATAAATAAAACTAGCCTATCTTCATTATCACTAGATGGTTACATTTTACTGTGTTAGATGATTATTTATTAATCCATATCTTTTAATTGTAGGAGAGGCTGGATTATTTGGAAGATGGAAAAACTATTTTTAAATTGCGATTAAGGCTTTGCTCATCTTTTTACCCAATTAATGAGCGCATACGGGCTTTTTTTCTTGAATACGATAGACACACTCTTCAAACAAGTCCTCCATGTGGTTCTGAACTTTTGGAGGTATATTGGCTATGCCTCTTTCTTCGGTCTTTACAGTTGTCTTGGTTAAATCCATTATTAGTATTCATAATCTTTTTAGTTTGGGTGTTGTATAATTTTCAAGTCAACTGAAATTATTCTATGGTTGTGCTTGAATTGATTTAAACATTCCCCTAATCCAGTTTTCTTAATTGGTGATACAGCATGTCAATTTTATAAATGCAAAACACTATGTCATGAATTGGACTGTTTTCCATATGGTTAGTATTTTTCAAACCATAATATATCTCAGTGACTAGATCTTTAGGTAGATTATACAATAAAAGTAGTCTTAGGGTCTGACTTTAGTTAGGTTTTTGTCTCTCATTTATCTATCTTTGGTATTGAGTAGCAAGAGGGATTTTGGATTTTAATTGTTGGGACTTAGGTTGTTTATGTTTAAGAGGAGAGGAAATTGTATTTTAAACATCCAGCCCCTAATCAATTGGCAATAGGTGGAGTAATCCATTGGTTTCCTATGATTCACTGATATGAGATTCCTACACGTGACACAACCTCATAGATCCACCTGTCACATGGTCATAGCACACCAATCCACTGTCAACCTCACCTCCGATTGCACACCAGGGCTTCCAACAACCCTTCCAGGGTTGCAAATTTGTAGCAACTCTTTTGGATTTGTGCAGATAGACTAGGATCACAACGACCTCTCCTAACATCAACTACCCCCCTTGGATTGCTCATACAACTTGGTGCTGGGCTTTGATACCATGTAACTGTCTAAATTAAACCAATTGTAATATGTGGAGTACCACATTGTATTTGAAGTCCATAGGTTTGCCTATAATTCACCAATGTAGGATTTTTCCAGTTAACAGGTATTAATTTAAAACAGTGGACTATGCATAATCTCAAATACTGCAGAGTGGAAATTGCTGTAAACATATACATGATGAGAATGTCTTGACTTTAAAAATTAAATAAAATTTAAAGAACATTAATTTTGATTTAATATAACTATGTAGCCTGTATAGGGTCCTGATTCTGTCAAAAATCAAATAGATTGCGGTACTTGATGTTGTTGATGCTTATGCTTCTTTTCGTCCTTGATTTCTTTAGTGTCTGCACTACTCTCTTGCAACCAAGGCAGCATTTGGGATTCAGGTGTCATATTTTAATGGGGGACAAGGTTCTTATGTTAATTAGGTTGTCATTGGATTGGCTTTGAGTTTTCCAGCACTGAAATACTTAGATTCTGAGATTGGTGGTGGCATTCATCGTGCTTCACTCTTTAGTTTTATTAGTAATATTACTATTTGCCAATCAAAAGGAAAAAACAAAAAACACATAGAAGTATGAAATTTGTGTCATGGAATCTGATATAAACTTGATATTTCTGGTCTCAGTTGCAAGGGAAATTCTGTTTATTGTGACTATTGTGGGATTATTATGCCTTAAGATTAAGTGACCACTGCTTGAAAACAAAAAAAAGGGAAAAAGAAAAACTAAACAAAAAAAAAAGAAAAGAAAACAAAAACAAATGAAAAAGAAAAAGGGGAGTGTGGTATTCAATTCATTTTGAAGGCACAGTTTACCTCACATTGTAAATAACTATCTAAATGTCCTTAACTCATAAATTTCATGTCTCTATTCATCATGTCTTTGTTCACCATGCTGTTCTATAGGAACATCAGTATGAGACAGTATCTAGTTTTTTATGCGAAGGATTTGGAAACATCCCTAGCGCTGGTGAGAGCATCAAAGTTGTCCTCAAAAGGGATAATCAAGACGATGATGATGATAAGCATGATGAAGATGGATCCAATCATCAAGATGTGAAGGCATCAAATATATAGACTTGAGGTAGGGTAAAAGCACCGAATGGATTTCAGTGAAAAAAAACTAGGAAAGAAAAAGCATGTAGCTAGCAATTCAACACCTTTAGTAACAATTCCTATGAAAGAAACTTTGGATTGTCTGGATTTCCACTGTCGAAATCTTGTGATGGAAATGGGACAAAGGAACCACCACCAGGCTCCTTCCACAAAAATGATGAGTTGTGGGGATTTGGCTGGAGGGTTGTCTTCTTAGGCCATGGTTGTGGATTGGTATTTGGACTATTGATGGGTTATCTTGCCTTTCGAACTGGAAAACCGAAATGGTTTGTGACTTTGTTTGATGGACAACCAAATCAAAATGGAAGGAAGATGAAGAAAGCCAGAAGACATGTTCAAAGAAGAAACCAATTGCAGAGTTGATGTTTTAGACCTTCTAAATTAGTATCTCCTAAAAAAATATTACTCTTTTGATTCAACGTTTTGGTTTTGGATGCCTTTTATCTCTTGTTGTAGTATCTCTGATTTCTCATAAAATCAACGAGTTCTCTCTTTTTGCTTTTGTAATTCTGTCTCAATTCTTAAGCCATATGGTAGAAAATGAGAGTACATTTTGTTGTCTTTTTGGCAGTAAAAAGAATTTGCTGTGTCACTATGCAAGTGTGTGAACATCTGGAAAATGCAATTTTGCCATTTCTAATCCCATGATTTTTCATAAATTTCTCATTCCCTTCTTTTTATTTTTGTGGCAGTTTTGTAACCATGAACATCTTGAGTTTTTAACAAGAGAATATTGAAGTGTAATCTGTGCTATATGAATTATATTATTTTTAATTATTGATAAAAAAATATATCAATAATATCAAAAAAACTCACTCATCTATTAATACTTATAAAAGGTGATTTTAGTTTTTTATTTTGACAGTGGACCTCACCTCATTAAGGCATTGTTGGTAATTCAATTGAACAATTTATTTTAAGTGTAAATAAGATATTTATACCTATTTGAATTCTTAAAAAAATTATTTCATTGAGTTATTGCATAATGAGTTGTAATTGATAATGAAACATTTTCTTTCTTTTCTACTTGCCTGTTGCCCCCTTACTCATTTCGAAACACCAACCTTTCACCACATCATCACTTCATCAGCAACATTTCCCAATATTGGTACCTCCATATGCTATTTAACAATTTAATATACAAAACCAATAGATATTCTTCTCTAACTTCTTAGATGTAGTGTAAAATTTTAAGAGATTTCAACCAATAATTAAAACCAAATTGTGAAAAATGAAATCAAAAGAGACTAATGATAGTTTGTATGTTTTTCAACATGCACAAATTAGCTAATTACAATGGAGCATTCTATTGCAAGAAGGAAGTAGAAATAAAGTATGGATTTCCCTCAAAATGGCAATTTATCATGATGTATCTTAGAAAAAGTTATTGTCGAAACTATGATGAGAAGAAAGTAGAGAAATAAGAGAAGATATTGTTGTTCCTCCGCATAGAAAGATATGGGTGAACTAATTTTTTTTTTTTTTAAGAAAAGAAAAATTACAATTCACTTCATAACTTCATACTCTCCAATGATTAAAAATCTATCTAGCCCCACAACTCAGCAATAGCAAAAATAGTTCACATCAGGGATCTGGGATAGAGATCTATAAACTAAAAAGAAATGAAGAAATTATTTCACCCTTTTGGATAAACCAAAGACATTAATTCTGCCGCACGTATAGTAGCAGAACTGAACAATAATTCGAGACGATAGGTTTCTTCGAGAATCCAACCACAGTCCTCTCCGTAGCATACTGCTCCTTTCGCAGCACATGTTGATCTGACGGTGGTTATAGCTCGGCGCCGGAGAAGTCTGGAGCATAGATTCGTAGAGACCCGTCGGAGCAACCGAGGAAGAGCTTCGAGCCATAGGATTCGATGGCGTGGATTTTGGTAGGGAAGCCGCCGAGGAGCTCGAAGCAATCATAGGCACTGTGCACCATTGCTGGTCACTTTCCGATGGTTCTCTAATCACCGAAATTCGCCATATGGAGCTTCTGTTTGGTCCGTAAACTTTACTTATCGTTATTGAGGATGCGAGCATTTTCTTTCGCTCCTTAGGGCGCTCGAAATAGTCTCGTGTGACCCGTGTCAATTCGAGCTAAATTCATACTGCTAACGTGTCGTCCAATTTGTCTCCGATACTTTCGAATATATATATAAAGAAAAGGGAAAAGTTGATATATATTTTTTTTGTTAATAATAATTAGAGTTTTATCATTTTATTTAATTAAAATTAAATTTAAAATTTAAAAAATTATTTTATTAAATATTAATATATTAAAATATATAATAAATTTTTAAATTTAAATATTAATATTTAATAAAATAAAATTTTAATTTTTTAATATAAATTAAAATTTTAATTATTTTTTAAAATTAAAACTGATATACAATTATCCAAATACATACAATAATTTTTAAGCATATTCTGCCGCACATATAAGAGTGCTTCCAAGGAAACCTTAATGGGCTTAGCTGGCCCAAAACGGCAAAACGGCAAGCATTGAAGACGTTTTGATGGAATATGCTTTCGCTGTTTTGCGTTCTTATGCTATAAAAAAAACTGCAAGAAACTATCCCACGATGGGTAGGTTTGTGCCCATGATTTGCTGGGTTTGCTTTCTGAAAATAACAGGTATGGAGTTGCTAGCTATTTCTGCTCACAATTTGCTGGGTTGGTTCTTCTCAATTGTTTTCATGTTTTTCTTTGGTTTACATAAGGCAGATTCCTTTCGAAATGAATTCTTCTTGCGTGTGTAATGAGTTAGGTATTAGAAATTAAGACTCTGTGCTACTTTCATTATAAATTTTATTTACTAGATTTCATATGAAAATTCGTGATTTTTATTTTTTGTATATAGAGACTAAAACCTAATTTAATTTTTATTTTTTTGATCTTTTCTTAGTGATATGAGTTTGAATTGCCTTAGTTAAAGTATTAAGATTTTAAATTATTATAAAGCAATTTTACCAATCATCTTTCTCAATTTTACACCATTTAAAAAAGCAATTTAGTTGTTGAAATGTGTCATGTTGAAGAAGCCTAGACAACATGTCATATTGAAGAAGTTTAGAGATGCAGTGGTAAAAAAGCTTAGGTGTAGAAGCCTCCCGCCAATAAATAAGAGGCAGAAGCCTCTTATCAAGAAGATGGAATAGATGGTTAAACTTGAGGGAAAATGATATTTGTACAATTATCAATAAAGGCAAGGTAATTCCATTGTTTCCAATCTACTTGCTTTATTTGTAGATTATCTTATAAATATCTTAAGATTTTTATAAGTACGTATAAAAATAAATTTTTTATAAAATGTCTCTACTTTAATAATTTTGAATCAAGTTTTTTTGCACATTCCAGTGTTTTCTTCTTGATAGAAAGTATTTTTTTGCTAAAATTTTATATTTTCTATTGTAAGCTTCATTTTTTTTATTTCAGGTGTAGAGATAGTGAAGTAGTGAACAATAAAGGCCTAGATTAAGCAAGAAACATTTCTTCTATAGCAGAAATAATAAAAGCTTATTGAAGAATCATCTAACTTTCATTCCTTAACCGCCAATCCAACGTACACTTTCGCTTCCAATCATCAAACAGCATACTACCTTTGGACAAAAAGGACATGATCTCACTCACATTCATTTTTTTTTTTTTTTTTTGCGCATTTTTTTTTTTTTTTTTTTGAACATGGGTAATGTAATTAATTATTATTAACATCCTTACATAGCAAGTGCAAGAGGATATTAGGCGGACAATGTGCCCAGTAGGAGGGGCATTGTCCATGAAGAGATGAACGGGCAACCCAGTCTGCAACTTGGTTGCCTGTCCGTGGTACAAAACTGAAACTAAAGCCAGGATTCCTTACATTAGATTGTCTAATACGTATGATAAGTGATCTAGCCTCCCACGGTAAAGGCTGAAAAGGTTGTTGGATAGATGAGATGAGCACCTGGTTGTCCGATTCAAAGATAGCATCCTGAATCCCATTATCTTCAGCAAAATGGACGGCTTTGAGGAGAGCGTCAGCTTCTGCCATTAGTGGCGTCAATGCCATGCCACTCCAAGTCTTTCCATAGCAGATTTCCCCATTCGAGTTGCGTCCTACCATGGCCAGGGCAGCTACCCCCGAGTTTGGTGAGAATGACGCGTCTGTGTTAATCTTGATGATGCCGTTTGGCGGCTTCGACCATGATGATTTTAGCTGTTGTTTAGGTGGTTGGGTTCTAGTCGGTGGAGCCAGTAGATCTTGATGATTAGGAGATAATTCCTGGATCATGTGAGAGATACGAGAAAGGACTTGAAGAGGAGAAACATCAATATGGCCAAAATATCTCTCATTTCGTGCTTTCCAAATATGCCAACAAACAACAGCACAATAATCAATCAGAGAAGAAAAGTGCATCTGCTTCGAGACATTCTTAATAAACCTCCACCAACCCACAAAGCAATCCACCCCCAGTTGCCGCGGGTCAAGACCCAAGGCTGAACCAAACCAAATTGGTTCGACATGAGGGCAATAGAAGAGCAAATGCATAATAGTTTCATCAGTTAAATGGCAAAAGGGGCATAACGCCTCTTGAACAATCCCCCTTTTTACCAGATTGTCCATTGAAGGCAAAGAGTTGAGAATGACCCTCCATAGGAAAACCCGGATCTTTGGGGGTACTTTCAGTTTCCATAGATGCTTCCATTCAGCTGAAGAAAGGGTTGGATTGACATGATTCAGATGAGTTTCCTGGCTAGTATGAATTGCAAGGAGGTAAGCACTTTTAACTGAGAATCTTCCATATCTATCATAGTGCCAGATAAAGGAGTCACAACAAGAGCCAGTTGGAATTTTAAGGATTTCCCGACATTCCTCACTACTAAAGAGTTGATTGAGTTTAGGGGCAGCCCAGTCTCCATGATCATCAAACAAATCACATACATACGAAAAGATAGAGTTATTTGTCGGGAGGGAAGTTACCTTGAATCCAGGTAAGGTGGGAACCCATTTGTCATGGTAGATCAAAATGTCTTGTCCATTACCAACATTCCATCTTGCTCCGAGTTGAACAAGGTTCCTTCCATGTAGAATACTTGACCACGCCCACGATGGGTGACTTCCTTTCCTTGCATCAAAAAAGGAGGAGTTTGGAAAGTATAAACTTTTTAGTACTCGGACCCATAGGGCATTAGGATTTTGTAATATCCTCCAAGCCTGCCGGGCTAACATGGCTATATTAAAACAATGGAGGTCCTTAAATCCCATACCGCCATCATGTTTGCTTTGAGTCAGTCGGTCCCATCCCACCCAACAAACTTTCTTCTCATCCTGTTGCTGCCCCCACCAGAAGTCACGAATAAGTCGGTTGATATTCTGGCAAACACCAATGGGAAGCAAAAAACAGGACATTGTGAAGGTGGGAATGGCCATAGCTACTGCTTTAATTAGGACTTCTCGGCCCGCTTGAGATAACAAGTTTTTTTTCCAATGGGCGAGTTTAGTGTGAACTTTGTCAGTAACATATTTCAGGCTGTCTTTTTTTGACCTACCCTAGGAAGTTGGTAGACCAAGGTATTTGGACATTGCAAATTCATGATGGATTCCAAGCTGACTGCAAATAGACTCCCGGACTTCCATTGGGGTCTTAAGGCTAAAAATTGCAGCATATTTGGAGAAATTAACTCTTTGGCCAGTTGTATCCCCATAGAGTTGTAAGATAGTTTGTAGGTGACTCACCTCCTGGGCTGTAGCTCGATAGAAAACCAAGGAATCATTTGCAAAAAGGAGGTGGCTAATTGTTGGGCTTTTTCTTCGAATCTTGTAGCTTGAAATCTTCTTTTCCGCTGTCGCTGTTAATAAGAGACGGGATAAAATGTCAGCGATAAAGAGATAAAGATATGGGGAAAGCGGGTCTCCTTGTCGGAGTCCTCGTTGGGGAGCAAAGAAAGGGGTTTGATTGCCATTAATTCCCACTGTGTAAGATACCGTGGAGACACATTGCATCACCATCTGGGTCCATTTCTCGCAGAAGCCATGAGCTTTCAATATACTTTCCAAACAGTGCCAATCAACACTATCATAAGCTTTGCGAATATCTAATTTCAAAGCCAACACATTATGCTTACCAGATTTCTTAAGTTGCAGCCCGTGAAAGGCTTCGTGTGCAATCAAGATATTGTCCTGGATGGCCCGACCAGGTATAAAAGCAAACTAAAACGGAGTTATAAGTCTATCAAGATAACCTTTCAAGCGATTAGCCAGGATTTTAGCGATAGTTTTATAAGAAAAATTACACAAGGAGATGGGCCGAAACTGTGAGATTACCTCAGGATTCTGAATTTTGGGAACAAGAACAATTCTAGTCTTGTTCATCTCTCGTAGCATGAAGCCGTGATCAAAGAAGTGTCGAACTGCCTTGCATACATCAGGGCCAACCATATCCCAGTGTTGTTGGTAGAAGCATCCTGAGAATCCATCCACTCCTGGAGCCTTAAACGCTCCTAGTTGGAACACAGTGGAGCGAATTTCATCATCTGAGATAGAACAACATAAGTCATGATTCATTTCTGCAGTAACTGATGGTTGGATAAGCCTCGTAATCTGCTCAAAGTTACAAGAGTTTGACGAAGCATAGGCTTGTTGGAACTGAGAGTGAGCATGGGTGAGGATTGATTCTGTGTCTTCCAACAGTTGCCCATTTTCATGCTTTAGCTGAAAGATAAAATTGTTCTGCCTCCTTCTCGATGCAATTGCATGGAAAATTTTGAAGTTTCTATCACCAAAACTAAGCCAATTTGTGCGCGCTCTTTGAAACCAATATGCTTCTTCTTGAATCCAGTGAGTGTGAATTCTGTCAATTAAGAGTTGCTATCTTGATATGTTTGGTTCAGTGAGTTCCTCCTGTTGAAGAGCTTCCAGTTCTTGTTGTAATTACGCCAGTTGTTGATGTGAACTCCCTGAAGATTTACTCCATTCCTTTAGTGATTGTCTACATTGGGAAATTTTGGCTGCCATTTTAAAAAGAGGGGATCCAACCCGGTTGGTCGACCATCCTTGAATCACTGCTCCATCATAGCCATTTTGAAGTTGCCACTTCAGTTCATATCAGAATTGCTTCTTTATAATGGCAGGGATGGCCTTTAAGCAGAGGACCAAAGGGCAATGGTCAAGGCCGATCTCACTCACATCCTTAAATATATGTATGAGAAAAGAAAATAAAAGGCAACACTTAAGATAGAATAGATATCAAATTTGGACTAATCGATAATGTAGGGAATTTTTGAATATCGGGTGACCATATATATATATATATATAAAGATATTAGGACAGACTTACACTACAAAAAGAAGAATCATTACCTGCAATTTTATTTTTGCATTTGCGTCAAACGCCAGTCAACTAATTGTTTTTTTTTTTTTTGTTTTTACTTGCTTTATTACAACAGCATTTTACGAAACGCAAGTAATTTCTTGCGTTTTATTTGACA